AAATATTTTCACAAACTAATTTAACATGCTAAACCTCGATTTATCTCCATCAATGTATTTCTTTCTCGCATTCTCTGCTACTCACAGCTAGCAAGGCAGCTTCTCGAATATGCGCAAAATGGAAATCATTGCAACGGGGGGGGGGGGGCATTCTAAATGTAGAAAGAAGATTTGGACTTTTCAATGCTCGCCTTTGATCAGAGAGCCATTTCCAATGTATGCCATTTGTATGTTCATTTAATCCTCCGATAGGCAAATTTGATTTTTGCGCCTCGGGACGGCAACATTGCCCTGATAAAGGCATTGTTTTGTCTCCAGAGGAATCCTGCCCCCCCTTCTAATCCGGTCAAATCAGGTGTCGTCTATCCACTTCCTCGAGGTAAAACGGCTCCTTGTGTTAATTGCCTTCGCTTTCTCTCTCGAGTACAATGAGGGAAAATCGAGTGACGCGATCTTACAAAAAGGTTGACAAATTTCCGCTCGCTCTGTTTGCTTGGTTGCATTAGCAAAGAGTCGTGATCATAATGTGGATAACCCAAACCTTCAGGTAATAAGGAATCATTTCCAATAATGATAATTCCTTAATTACGTTTCACGTCTTCAGAGCTAAATTAAGAGCGGTTGAGCAAATGGAAAATAAAAAAAAAAAGCTAATTAAAACCGAGCTTGCTAATAACGGCCTACTTTTAATCCTTTTCGTTTTCTGCGTACACTATTTCCTCATGATATGCATTCATAGCGCATATAAAGTCCGGTCTTTTCCGCTTTAATATAGAACTGAATGACTACTACAAACGTAGTTCTCGAACTGTCTTCATTTCAGTCATTTTCTCTGTCTCAGTAACAGCCCGGCGTTGTATTTTCCCCCCATTCAAGTCTGGCCAAGAATCTCTCGATGGCGTACGTCTCTTCTCCCTTCTCTCAGGTGGAGGCAGAGAGTCGAAACGGTTTTAGCTCACAGACGGTTCTTTCTCCTTTCTTGGCCACATCAGTCACTCAATCAGTCAGCCGTCCTGCCACTTTGTCATTTAGCATCAAGGCGCTCCCGAGCCAGTCATTTTTTTTTTTTTTTGCAAAGCCTCTTAGCCATCCATCCAACCGTTCATCCGGCCGTCCATTCATCAACGCTGGTGAAGGATGGCAATGTGACCAAGAAAAGTGATTCAGACATATAAACTGATTTTACGCCATCCATCATTTTTTTTTTCTTTCCCCACCCACGGTTGGTCGGTTGTTGACATTCGAGCACAATCAATATCAACGGAGCCAAAGTATGATGCAGGGTAACCTCAACGCTCCAACGTAATCTGTTCCCGGAAGCTGGTCAACCTCCATTTTCGAAGGATTTGAAAGCAAGATCTGAGCTTATTTGGGATCATCATTGTTTATTTATTTTTGTTATGTAATATGGGTTGTAAATGAAGTGGGTCTAAACACTGTCGCGTGCAAACACAAGCATCCTTGGACTAATGGACAGGCGGAAGCCCGCTCGATGTTTCATCTTACGGCGACTGACAGCAGAGAAGCGCTCGGTTAACGGCTAATGACATTCGGGTACCTTTCGGCACACGGCAAGATAAATAGCAACAGGCCACGTTTTATATTGCCTCGCTCGGAAAATGGGAAAGAAAAGTGACTCTCTTTTATTATTAAAGCTAATAGCATTGCGATAGAAGTCAATGTCTTCTCCACATTCTCCACGTGCAGAAATGAAATCATGTCTGGGCAGAGAATCGAGTTGTCGTCTCTCATTTGACCGCCCACTCAACACCCAACTCCGATGCCTCAATTGGAGCCGCCGCTGCCCTCCCTGTAGCCACAACACTCTCGTCCATCTTATTGCCCCCCTTCCTTCAAGCCTCCTCCTGGACTCGCCATCAAAGAATGCAGGATTTTAATTTACAACGACTTCCTGTGTATCGAGGTTTTTTTTTTTTGTTTTTTTTTACCGATTCTCCTCTCGTAGCCTTACTTACTCCCTTCCGGTCCACCACAGGAGGGATGTTGGGACTCTTTGGAAGGAAAGCTGATAATTACGACGTCCGGCTTCTTTTCCTGTTCCAGCTTTTTGCGATGCTCTGCCAGTGTGTTTGTGGAAGTGACAACACACTCTCTGTGGATCTGAGTGCAATAGAAGCCACCGTCTCTTGTCATGTCAATAATGTTCCAAATTTGCTATCAGCTCATTCGCCAAAAGGCACGTCATTTCGAGTTGTCTGCTTTTCAGCCCTGCGAATCGGCGTCACTCCCGGATGGGAAGCGAGGCCATGGTGCCGCATCAAATGCCATTGAACTCTGATTCGCTGGCACTGACCCTCCCTTTTGTCAAGTACACTGTGTACAAAAACATTCGCTCCAATAAAGGTTCAACACTTCCTCACGTGTAACAAAGCCATTAAGGCAAAATTAAATCCAGCTCTATCCTGTCTGCAACGACATTCATATACTCGAACAGAAAATCAGCTTCCTCTGTTCAGAAGGCAAATTATGGCCACAGGCGTATTTTCAGCCATTCAACCTGTGTAGCCACATGGGGCAAAGTCATTAATTCCATTTTGCAGAAAGTAAGAATAGTGTGAGTCGAGCAGAAATTACTCAAATGTTATGTCCTTGTTCAGTACTCAGAAATAAGTGAACATATCTGCAGATATCACTTGCGATTACGTCATTAAGAAAAAAAAAAGTTCCCTTTTGTTCCCGCTCAGCAACTCTATAGAGGCTTGAGAAGATGAAGAGAATGCAGATGTTCAGCAATCATGTCATTCGAAATCACTAAAAATGAAGAAACGAATGTAGTTGACAGTCGCAGATGTTACGCAGGCCTTAAGAGGCCTGAAATGACCCAAACACGACTGTCACATTTATTGCTTGGAAACATTTGCAGAGGAAATCCCAAAAGCTCGTTAGCACCGTGGGAAAATTTAGACAACACAAAATTTGATTCTTATTGAGATTTTTCTCAAGCAGCAATTAAAATAATCAAAGCACATAAAAAGATGCTCATTCTCAAATCTATTAATTGATGTGCCGGGATAAACGAGACAGGCATGACGTTGTTTTCTTTTCCATTTCACATATATGAGGCAACGTTTGCTTTTTGTGCTTCAATCGATCCGATTCGCCATTAAATTGCTCATCTGACAGATGAGGTTCCTGCTTCTTGTGTTGACTGCTTGTTCCAATATGCAGAGAGAAAAAAAAAGTAATCTCCGTTTGGTACAGACACAAACGTCAACGCCGCATCTTCCAGAAATCCGGTTCTGCTTATGCTCAGCAAGATACGCTGTTGGTGGAGTTTGTCTGTGAGCCGAATAAAAATCGTCAACATCTAATGCAGATTCAGGATTTTTTTTCTCCTTTTATCCTTCACGATAATTTTTTTTTTTTTTTTTTTTTTTTTTGCTTACATTCTTGTTTAAATATGAGATGACCGTGAATAAAGACATGTTTAGGAATAGCCTCTCTGTATGATGGCTTTTAACGTTGGCTTTAAATGTTTCCTGGAGTGGAAGAACTTGAAAGCCCCAACTTCAATTCCTTTCAACCACTCGGAACAGAGACTGCGACTGCTCGTTTCTGACATCACAAACGCTTTTCTCCATGAACAGACATTGGCCGGGCACACTTCAAAATCTCCCCCAAATTCTCATTTCAGTTTGTCAGCTTAAATACGTCAGCCTGATTGCAACCAAGTGCACATTTTCTTCTGTGTTCATTCGCTGGCACACTTCAAAATCTCCCCCAAATTCTCATTTCAAGTTTGTCAGCTTAAATACGTCAGCCTGATTACAACCAAGTGCACATTTTCTTCTGTGTTCTTTCGCCGCTGTTATGATGACCGGATGCCCCAAAAACGTTGTCCATGTCATGTACAATGCAAGTCCCGGTCCGACTGGAAATGTTGGCACAATTATGTGTGTCAGAAATTTGCATCCATTTCTCAACGAGAGAAAGAGCTACAAAACCTCATTCACGGTTGGGACATTTGCCTTTCAGCTTCAACATCAGCACTTAAAAGCAAACAACGACCACCAAGCGCATCAAACAATAATTCATGCTGGTTTGATATCTCAACAGAAATCCTGATCTTCAAAAGGAATGCGTCCATCTCGGTGCGGGGTCCCATTTACACAGTTTGTCAGATTGTTTGTCGGCCCAGATGATGGTCTTGAAGTGGCCGCTATCTTTTATTCCGTCAAGTCAGTATGTTTTGTGAGACGGCTGTTCTCTCCCGTATTTACAGATGTATTTGACTCGCTCATCTTGAGAGGAAATCGACAGCAACTCTGTTTGAATGATGCGCTCTGTCTTGCGTGTGCATCGTATGTGCTTGCCACATATACAGTCGTCGTGTTTACTACCATTTCATTTTTTTTTTTTTTTAATAGCGCTGTGGAGAGGGAAGTCTCATCACTAAATGACATGTTGAGTCAGTCGGGCGTGTCTTAAGCTCCATGGCAGAGGCTTCGTCGAACCCCTGAGACTGATTCAACGAACCCTGGGGTTCGATCAATCGAACCCGGGTTAATAAGAACCACTGTTATAGAGTGGTGGTAGTTTTTGTTTATGATTCCTGTTTTATGTTCAGGCTTGACGTGAAGCACTTTGTTCCAGCTCTGGCTGCTTTTGTAAATGCTCTCAGAGTCAAATTGAGTGATCTCATCATTTCTTTAAAATGTTGTTTTTTTAAATTATTATTATACTGTAAATTTGGTCGGCAGAAATGACCTTTTTATTAAAATGTCAGTTTGGAGTGTTGAAACGCAAGACTGTCGTTTTCTTTTATCTCTCTAATCCTCCCGAGCATGTAAAAATCAAATGCCGCGTTATCGAAAGAGAATATTAGTGGCGTAAACGTTGACGCGCAGCAGGTGAGAAGCATCCTTTTGAAACACTTCAAAAGCCAAATGAGACGTTTAACTCGTTGGTGTGGTTCTTCATGACGATAGATGGAACAGACACGGCTTCCCTCATTGTATTTCTCCACTTGTCTGCCTCAGGCATGTGGTCCTTCTCCGTATCCGAGCTGGCCGTCCCGGGGGCTGAAATCGGACGGATCTCAGCGAGCGACGCCGACCTGGGCGACAACGCCAAGTTGGAATACACCATCTTGGAGGGGGAGACCGGCGACACGTTCAACATCACAGCGGTGAACCAAGAGGCGCTCATCATACTAAACAAGGTGAGGGAAGGTTGACAGGACATACGTGAAAGTTTGAGATTCCCCTGCTCAATACTCATCATATTGATCAGGGGTCACCAACTCCGGTCCTCCGAGGCACTGATCCTGCATGTTTCCCTCCACCAATAAACCTGGTTGAAATGATCGGCTCATGGGCAAGCTCTGCAGAATAACTATCCTGATCATTTCCTGATGGAGATCTTCTCAGGTTAAATCTAGTGTGTTGTTGACAACACAGTGAAGGCGCTTATTGCAGAGGATGTGTTCCAAATCCACCCGCAATATGTGAAAATAACGACTATTGAGAGAACGCGTTAAAACAATCAATAAGTAAATGAACAATTTTTTTCCCAATAGTTATACCCCACCTACAATAAGCTTTGAGTCAATTTAAACTTATTAAAACACTCAGTAAACAAGCCCGTTATGCAAGCCCATATCGTACGATCTTTGCACATACGCTTGCCTTTAAGAGGCGGGACCGAGTGAGGTGCTTGTGACATCAGCAAGCCTCCATGTGAGTGCCGGAGCGTGATCTGTGGCTAAAAGCAGCTCTTGTGTGGCTGCGCTTGTTGTCTTGATGCGTTTTACTGTTGTCCTTGTGTTTGGTAAACAACCGAAAAGGGCATCGGGGACTATGGGTCTCCTTTCCCACATGTGAGGGTATTACATTGTAAGTATACTACTTTCAACATCCATTTAAAAATATGATGGCTTTAAAAAAAACCCAAAAAAGACAGTGGTCGTGGGGTTGTGAAAGGTGAAAGTGTGAAACTGCAAGTCAATTGTCTGCACTCCACACAATGTTAAAAATGTGAATGAATAAATGCGCAGTGTGCCCCAGGGTGAGGCCGTTGTTTTAAAATTGTAAATACAGTTGGCCCTTTTGGTCCAGATACAGCAAAAAGTCCTCCCATTTAAATAAAAATAATTCCTAATGGGCTCGAAATATGTTAGGACAAGTTAGGGCTGCCTTTCAGCCAGAGTTTCCATTTGGAAGGTTTGTAGCTGCAGAAGCCAAAATGAGAATCTGCTCATTTCATTCTGGGTTCAGCTGGCTAATAGTTCCCCCAAGTGCAATGCGAGATGATGACAATTTTGAACAGTCATTTGCTAAGATGGTTGTCATCCCCGATAATCACATCCTCGTGAAAATGTGCGGCCGCAGCGGTGTGACGAGCGCACTCACCTGCTCGTTCCCATTACTACTTTATTCAAATACGTCGTGCGCATCTGCGTCGGGATGCGGGTCGTCGTCATATACGCATCATATGAAGTGAGCGTTGAGTGGGAGATGGACCGCAAGAGCTTCTCGCGTTCTTTTTCGAGCATCTGCTCAAAAATCCCTCCGACACTTGACACACATAAATATGTTGGCTTCATGCCATCAACCGCGTGTGTGATCACGACGCTATTTTGTACGCAGGGGAACGCGAGCTCGCTGCAAGAGAGGCTGCCCGACGTATCGCCTCGATTACATGTCTACTTTTGTGACGCGATACGTTTCACGTTGGAACGTGTGCCGTGATTATCATGAACCTTTCGTTGGGTGCCAGACAGACAGCTGAAAGTTGTTGCCCCTAAGCCGCTAACCGTGCGCCATACGAGTAATCGCAACATTATGTCGGGTTATTACCGCTCAGTTTTGAATATGTCAGAGGGGCACTCGCTCGAGACGAATGTGCCACCTTGAATTATGACTTTCATTTGCTCTGTGGCAAAGCTCGCAGGTCAATTTATTGTGACATCAAATCAGCCCGCCCCATTAAAACGAGTTGAAAGGCCGTGAATCCGCTCCACTGTCCACAAACCATCGCCATTTTTTCAACCGTTTTTAATAAAGAATATATCATACTGTTTTTTTTTTTTATAGAAGGCTAATAAAACAATAAAGTAGAATTTAAAGAAAGAAACTGGCTTTGTCAAGTGTAATCAGTGTACATACTGTAGTATCCGTTTGTTGAAATGTGTGCCTTGAAGTGATGTAGTCTAGTGAGTGATATCAAGTTCTGTCGTCAGTTGGGTTTGCTGCTTATTTTAGTGTTCGTCCCCCAGTGTGAGTTTTGGCCTATAGCACCTCCTGAGGTTTTTTTCTTTGTATTTGTGCGCTGTTCAGTTTGTTTTTCAAAAAAATGGCACGACTGTGGCTCTCCTTGCTCATGTGCGAGCGCATTATCATACCTTAACTGTATTTTGACTTAAAGGACCTGTGGCATCAAGATGGTTCATTTGTTTTTTTTGTTTTTTACTAACAAGCTCACTCCATGAATTTATTATTCTTATTTTTGCTCAGGAAAAACGACACTGCCATGACTTTGCAATGATCAATCCGTTCTGGAAATAATTTGTTGAATCTGGAGCAACCCTTTTTCATCACCCAAATGGACAGGCTCCCTCCCCAAAGTCGTGGTGTGATGTCAGTCAAAGAACTGGACACAATCAGTACAGTCTAGAGCACTGAATGCACATTGTTTGTCATGGCTCATCATGGCGAAAGTCACAAATGGTCAGGTAAAATGGCACGACTGTGGCTCTCCTTGCTCATGTGCAAGGGCATTATTATACCTTAATACAGTCTAGAACACTGAATGCACAGTTTGTCATGGCTCATCATGGCGAAAGTGACAAATGGTCAGGCCATGAAAACAGAAAGCTATTCATGACACATTTCTAAATAGAACATGTATTTTTATTGGGATTTCATTGAGCTATCAATGAGATACACGGTTTCCCACTCACTAACACGAGATATTTTCAGTTTTTGGAATGTAAATAGAAAGTGCATAGCTAATATGAAATCCATGTGATATTCCTTTGAAATGACTCAGCTCAGTTCAGTAGGATTGCTGGGGAAAAAAAAAAAAAAACACCAATCCAAACTCTGAGGTTTTTGCAGAACAGGATTGTTTTCTACAAATCTCCTTTGAAGTGAAGCCGAGCGTTGGGGAGAGAGAGGGCGGGTACAGTGAGATGTGCTACGAGAAAGAAATTGAAAGTTAGGCCCAGAGACTGATGAGAAAGGAAAGGGATGAATAAAAGTAGAGAAGATGAGAGGGTTGAGGGAGGGAAGCTGAAATGAGGTCCTGTGAAGCACTGACAGGACCGAGTGCCATAACAAGGAGGTAGGAGTTCGATAAAACCAGAGAGAGATGAGTAAAGATGGACGGCCAAGAAGAATAACCACAACGTGAAACGCGGCGCGAGAGAAACGTTCTCTCTGATCAAATGACCTCGACAATCAGGTGCATTGACAGCGGCAAAAGGCGAAAACCTGATGGAATCTCTTGAGAGGAGCCGACGAAAATTGCACATAAGAATGGGATCAAAAGTAGCCTTGTCTGCCACTAAATTCAGCGAACGAGCAAGAGAACTAAATCACACACCCACACCCACCTACACACGCACACACATCCCATCCCGAACCTCCAACAAAAGCACAAGAAGCCTGATAAGATTTTATTTTGAAACAGATTGTGCATGTTTTTTCTGTGTTGATTTAAGTTCGGGCAATAATGAGCACTCAGGAGGCCGAAATGGATTTTAACAGGGGAGAATGCGATAGGATCTGTGTGCCCTCAAACCTCCCCAGAGTAGGAAGGACTTCCCAGCGAAACAATTTGTGTCACCGTCAAGTTGGCCTTGACCCCCCGCTTGTCACCCCGCTGCTGTCTGCTAAATCTCTTTCACAGCCGATGGACGATTACAGACACACAAATTCTGGGAACGCGCTGAGTGGAGACGCACACAAGGACGCAGGCGCTAATAAAACCACGGGGAGATCAAGTATACAGAGGCGCAGGATATGACTCACTTGACCTTGCCGCTGTCTCCGTTTCAACCGTGAGGACGGAGGACAGGAGGTGAGATCGGCGGCTTGAGAATGGAAGGAAAGATGCTGTGTCGTACTCGCTCGTCTACCTCAGCGGGATGATGGCAGATGGCAGGTGGCTAAGAGACTTGGACTGCGCGTTCAAGCAGATTTAGAGAGCGGGAGCTGATGGAAAGAGTTAAAATGAGGTTGGAAGAGGAGAAGAAGACCGCGGGCAGAAGAAGACGTGGGTGAGCTACATCGGAGCAGCCGGAGGAAGACGACGCGGTGAAGACATGGAAATGCGAGGGACGACGAAAAGAAGGCGGGTCATTAAAATCCCGCAAGTCTGGCTGCCGGCCGGAGCCGCCTGCTGCTTATCGCCGCTTATTTACTTTCTGTCCCACAGAAACCTCCGGCAACAAAAAAACAACCATCTCTCCCGCTCTGGCCCTCCTCGCCCTCTCCCGCCATCATCAGCCACTGTCTCTCCGCATTTCGTTACTCCGGCCCTCTGTGACCGATGTGCCCGCAAACATCACAAATGCACGAAACGCCCAAAGTTTAAAAGCAAGCAGATGCAAACTCACAGAGAAATCTTCCAAAGCTCTTCTTGGCATGCCCTCCCTTGCTTCGCCGCCTCATTTGCGCTGAACATTGTCTGCGGGCCACGTCAGACTGTAAAGATTGTTTTTCTGTGACGAAGCCTTATTCACATCCACACGCGGCACAAAGAAGTGCGCATCCACATTTGAAATTCATTCCTTTTTTTTTCTGGATTTATCTCATTTCTTTTTTGAATTGTTTCGTTTTTCTTTTTAATCGGTGAGCCTGCCCATTTAGTAAAAATCTCCTCATATTGCAGCCAATTGAGTTTTGATAGAGCTTATGAACAAGGCCGAAGTATAAGTGGAAGGTAATTGGCGAATTCGCATCGCCTTCTGTGGCGCAATTGCTCCTCGACTTCAGTCGTGCCTTCTAATGGACTGTGGGGGGAACTATTCGGTGGGTGGGCTCTTGCTAGTTGCTCCTGTGCTAATTGACGTTCCTTTCAAATAATAAAAATCTGTCGAGGTTGAAAAAAAACTCCATCGCACTCATTTTTGTGCTCCCAGTGCAGAAATTAGTATCCAGCCTTTGCGCACATAGACGGACACAGAGATGGTGTGTGCATCTCTTCGATCCGCTTCAC